GAGTATAGCAGTCGTCGAATTGTATAAATGGGCAACCAATATTCAAAGAAGTTTGTTCACCACAAACACTCAAATTTTATCGTATTGTATAACCAAAAACTATGTTAAAAGAATAATTTAAAGACGTCTTGTCATTTCGTTTTAATTTTTTCACTGCCAAATTGAGATAATTTCTTAGTAAATTACTTTCGAAGTTATAAAATTACTTCATTTTAGAGCATGTAGAAATAAATAAGTTAATTGATCAAATTATGAATTGATAATTTGATGAATGACTTACTTAAATACTAGTTATCTATACCTATCAAATGAAAATTATTATTTTGAAAAAACAATTAACTAATGGCGTTAAGCTCAAATGAAAGTGCAATGCTAATCTGAGTACTGAGTACTAAATATTTTACTCATTTTGACATTTCTAGAGTACCAAAGAATTTTTTTTTTTTTTTTTTGCACTTACATATATTTATTCGCACCTGTCAATTATAACTATTGACAATCAGCAGATGTACTGGCACACTCATGAGTAAATAAAAGGAAATAAAATAAAAAGGCTTGATAAGCATGAGGAAAAGCAATACCCAGCAACATCCTTCCCATGGATTTTACTTACAATACAATTACGTAAGTAAGTCCCTCATCCAGACCCTTTTTTAGTCGTCTTCTGGAGTTCTCCGGAATAATAGTCGTGGCCATTTCATTAATTAGCTGGTTGGAGTGTCCATGTAATTTATATTTATTATGAAATCGTTTGTAGTAAGTTCGTATGTGTTCATTGATCGTTGGCATGTGTAAGTCAATGTGTAAAGTGATATTATTCAGGTACCAGGGTGCTTGGCTTATTAGTCGTAGTATCTTAGACTGAAAAGTTTGAAGTCGTTTTATGTGTGTTGGTTTCGCAATTCCATTTATTTGCAGTCCATAAGTCTAGAGAGGTTTTAATAGTCATGTATAAATATTTAATTTCTGTCTTGCTCCAAAGAATTTAATTACTACTTCAGTTGATATCAAACGATTAACTGAAATAGTTATTGAATTGCTAGTAGTGATTCGATTTGAGTAAAATACTTGGTACTCTGTACTCAGAGCAGCGTTTTCCCATCCCCGTTTTGAAGGCGTTATTCTTGCCGATAATGGGCAATCTATATTTGATTTGTTATGTAGTTGTGAACGATACCTTCCGAGTTGTGGCGGTGGGCGATGTTGGCGCCTATCGGATATGAATGAATCGGTTGGGAAAGAACTAGCCTTGAAGGTTAGCCGCGGCTGGCGAGGGCACGGATTGGAAATGAGGGTCAAGGCCGTGGACCTTCCCTTCCCTCCCTCGATCCTCATTGCCTTTAGGATAGTAAGCTAAGCTGTATCCATTGTTTATATCCCTATAATATATGCTGGTTTTTCTGTAAGTGAAGGAAGTATTTAAAGAGCTTATAGCATACCTCAAGTGCTACCAAAAGGTATACAGGGGAACTTTGATATGATTTTGTGTAGGAAGTTGAAGTAAAAACTTCTTTAGGCTCGCTTAGAACTTTATTTTGTGGGTACACTGAACCGTCACGCTATTCGGGTAAAATAGACTAAGAGTCAACCAAGTTTTGCATTTGGATTAAAATATCCCATAAACTAAAGATCGCACCTATACTGTAAGCTAGTTAATTAATCAGCTTTTCATCTTCTTTGTAATAATCTATTATTCAAAATTGTACCTTGATGTGACAAGGTATTAGAAAGGGAAAACTATGTCAAAAACGAAATGAAAACAACGGTCTTGAACATTTGGACTAAATCAGCTGAAGTCAATATAGACATTATTTTTTAATTAGCTGTAAAAATTGGGAATTAAGTGTTACTGTTCGATTTTATGTTGCACTCGATAGGGTTTCTATAAATTACTGACCCCCGTTACAAAGGTTTTAATATAAAAAAAAAGTATCTATACTGCATACTTCTCTTATACTAATTGTGATCATATCTTATACGAATTTATACACAATTATAATTTTATGTATTAAGTAAGTTATGTTATTTGTTTAATAGAAAGTGAGAACTATAAAAATATTTGATTAAAACAATTAACACATGCAAGTAGAGTTGTGTTTGTTAAAACAATTTTAAAGTGATTTTTAATCGTCTGAACTAAGCTAAGTACTTTCCTTCATTAAATCAGAAAAATGATTATATTTTATCACCTTCCAACAGGACTACGGGTAACCCACTTTTATTAGGAACTTACTTATTTAATAAACTTTAAGGTTATATTAATTAAGTTGAGGTTTGTTACCAATAACTTGAGATTTCCCTCCAGTTGTGTAAAATAATTAAGTGATTTAATAATCAGCCGCCCCAGAGTATATCTGTTTTCATTTAATTATTGTTAAGCTTTAATTTCTTTTTAACCAAAGCTCGGGGTTTTATTATAATAAATTCATTATGAAAATACACTTAGTTAATAATCAATAACAAATTTGTAAAACCACTGTATGGTTGATAATTTTGCTTAAAACGTCGGTATTCTGGGGTGATAATTCCTAAGAATTATATTTATATATTTTTATATAAATGGACAGGATGTCTCGTGAGTAAAGGGAAACATCTTAAGAGGTGATGGGTAGTAAGCTTCAAGTGATACAAATCAAGTAATTAACAGTTTATTTAAACTATGTCCTGATTTTGCGCAGAGAAGCTTTCAATCGGTCAAATTACTTGTGAAGTTTTTTTCTTCTAAAATTCGCGGATTATTCGCGTGGAACTTGTTGGTTTACAGTTCCATTTTTTCTAAAATCATTGATTATTTCCTAACAGGCTACAGATAACCTACTTTTAGAATAACTAAGTCCATGGTTATATCGCTTTTATTTTTCTTTATAGTCCATAGTCCTGTACTTCACTATCCTTTTTATTAATTTCACTGTCGTTTTTCAATTTGTTTGTATCAAGTATAAATTATTAGACGTCTTCACCTATATAATTTATCTTAGTGCTTATATAATGTTTTTTTTGTTTTTGTTTACATATACGGGTCTTATTTTGTATAATAGATATGATTTATTTAATTTAATGGTAAAGTCAGTTGTTGTAACTGTTATATTTGTTTGTGATGCTGGATCGTTGTCGTAGCTTAGCTGAAAGTGCAAGCTGTTAAGTAGGACACTGGTATCAGCTGAAGCCTGATGAGAAATATTCCGTTGAGCTCCACTGACAATTGAATGTCTCTCAATTATCCCTGCTTCCGTATTGTATTGTCCATGTTCGTCTGTCTCCGGTAAAATATTTTGTACCCGACTTATTTCCATTAAAAAAAAAAGTAAAAAATTCGGATCGCGTCTTACATCGCCGTATTTATTATTAATCGTGGCCAGTTAATAATCCTCCATATGCTGACTACTTTTCCTTTGCCTTGTGATAACAATTTCTACAATGCTCTTCATTCGTCTAATTTATAAGCCCTAATCTTGGCTACTTATTTTAGGATTAAATTCCCACTATAAGCTTTTTTCCTCTATGCTAAATATTACATGCCATGCCACCCTAGGTTTAAGCCAAAATGATATTAAGGATGGATAATAATCAAGATATGCAGCAAATAATAGTGTTTATTAAGTTTGCCGACGTTTCGACCCAAGCATTTTAGGGCAATGAGTAGTTCTTGTCTTGGCTTGAAAGCGTTGCCTTGATAAACACGATTATTGACTCCATATCCTGAATATTTTCTATCTTTATATTACGATACCAATTTCATCCTTACTATACCTATCTTTTTACGAATGTTACAATGTTGGTCTCTACATTGTCCCCACTCTTCCCAAAAGCACAGAAAAATGTTTTATTTTTGAAGTACGCAGAACCGATGTATTTTTACTATTAACATTTATTTACCGTAGATCTTGATAAAATATTAGTCATTAATTTTGCTTTTATTCAGACTTATATATCCATCAATTTATATATAAACATAATTTCGAGGGAGCAATATTGGACTAAAATACTTGAGCTAGAGCTGAATGGGTTTCTGAAATTCGGCACACTCTTAAATCATGGAGTGTTTGAAGTGAATTAACTTACATTTTATTTGTAACGACAGATTCTGATTATGTTTTAAGTATTATTTTAAATGTTCTAAAGGAGAAATACATATTGGTCACTATAAAAGGAAAATAACCCTTCCCGATTTTTTTAATTTAACAGGAGATTGAAGAAATGAACTTAATTTGTATGTTTTTTTTTTAATTTAGTTTAAATTTCGTTCAAGTATTATTTCAGAGAAATTCAACGAGAAATGAAAATCAAAATATAAATCTTTTGTTAAAATTTATAAAGTTTGTTTGAACGCTAGTTTATGAAACTACCAGTGGTATTTGAAAGAAACAATTTGTTTGCGTTATGCTTTATAACTCCACCCTATGAAAGACAAATAGCAACGGAACAGTTTTCATATAAGTTCGTCTATCATGTAAAGTAGGCAATTACTGTTGTTCAGCTTCAATAATAACAGTATGTTGAAACATTTAAATTTATAACTAACATTAACATTTTATTCTCCCCTCGACACTTAAGGAGAAAGCCCTGATGAAGGCCTGAACCTCAGGTCGAAACGTCGGCTAATGTAAAAAATAAATATTATAATTTATTTTTGCCTTCCTTTTTGACTGAACACCCCAACTATTCTTCTCTTCATTATCCACTACAGTCAAGCAATTACCAATTATAAATTTATAACAGTATGATTCCTCTACTATTATATCATAATATAATAATTTTATGATTATAAATATTTCGGAGTCAGCAAAATACGTTATTATCAAAAGTTTTTCCGTTTAATAAAAAACAACTCGTAAATCAAGTTTTCCCTCATCTTGATTGAAGAACCATAGGCAGAATAATGTATTTTAATGGTCTTCATTGTATTGTAATTAATATTTATTGTTTACTACCATTTATATTGTTATTAGCTCATAAAGTATAAATTTTAAATTATTAAATTTAGATAGGCATTTATCTATTTATGTACTTAGTCGTGTGTATTTGCGTGTTCCCCAATTCGTCTTGCTGTGTTTGATGGACAATTGATGAAGTGTTGAAGGATGTGAAGAAAGACCAATGAGAGTCAGCATAGAAGAGATCCTTATTCGGGAGCGGACCTGCTTCAACCTTTTTTGTTCCCCCTTATACCTGCCAGCTCTGGAGACCCTAGGGTCGCCCTTTCCGTCCATTCTGAAGACTTCTAGAACACTGTTGGTGTATCCATCATTTTGAGAAATATGTTGTAAATGCTTAAACGGTTTCATTTGATAAGGGTGACAATCCGCTAGATGTATAATTCATTTTGAAACTAGAATTCCTATATGTTTGTCGATATGAATATTTTTTCACACGTGCTGTCTATGATTATCATTTTATTATGCTACTAATTAAATTCGGTTTTCATATGCGTTCTGTTATGATATATTATAAATTTTTGAAAATGTTAAGCTAAAAAATAAAAACTGTCTTCTTTAGAATAGTCTTTTTAAGGTAAGGTCTTGTTCCTTCTTCATGGTATTAATTAATACTGTATTATATATTTTCCAATATAATCAAATATTAGGACTTCTCAACAAAGTTTTACTTTGGAATTTTCAACAAATATATATTTTCATCCCATTTCAGTAAGTCTAGAATGATTAATGCACCGAAGGAGTTGGATAGGCGAATTTGCTTGGTCTTGGTCCTTCGAAGCTGAGCTAACACCTTTAATTCACAGTTCGTTTACACTTTTTGTATAAACTTGATGGAAATGATTGTTAATTAAATTTATGTTTCAATTTCTGTCGTCTGGTTGTGAACAGTGGATTTCCACCAAACCTTTCCCCCTTCTCTTCCTCCACTCTCCTTTCAAAATCTTCAATGGAATAATTTTTTTTTCACTGACTAGTGTCAGACAGGATTGAAGTAACCTGAAGGTATATAGATAATTCCATACCTATGAACAAACATGAAAATTATTGTAGCTTAAAATTTTCTAGTTTAAAATATTTACCAATTTTTTTAAATCTGTAGTTTAAATTCAACAGTTTCCCGAACCTATTTTGGCCCCAAATTGTAGTACATTAAATCTAGTTTAAAAATGTATCGAATGGTTTTTGTCAAAATCTTATTCCTTCATGATCGATATTCGAATGTGATCCGGGGAGCTCCCGAGGTCGAAAACTTGGATTTTGCTCTTCGGTCATGCAAGAAAAGAAACCTATCACCACTTGACCCAACTTAGTAGATAGACCCCTTTCATAACAAGTCTATGGGACTAAACTAGAAAAAAAAAAGAAATGAAATCGAAACTTGATTGAGGATATGGTTTTCATTTTACCGTTGCTAAATTACTAAGCTTATGACTTCTGCCACTAATGTTTATTTGCAGTAGAATTTTCCTTACTCTTTATGAGTGCGAAACGGTGTTGCTTAGATTAATGTTTTATAAAATACATTAATGCGCAAAATATGTTAAAGAGTCAAGAGACTAGAGGATTTGGACAGATAATCTCAGTGTGCCGAATAGCGTGATTTTGCGGCGATTAAAATAGACTTGGGTTTTGACATATGGCATGAAAAGTATATAATTTATACTTAGTCATACCTATTATGAATCATAAATTCTCAAAAAAAAAAGTCAATAAAAATTATATCCTAAATGGAAAAATGTGAAAATGATTGAAATCGGACAATTTTGAGCAAATATACAGCCTGATGAAATTTATACACATTTTTTCGCTTATTATTTAATGAGCCATTGTAATCGACCAAGGAAAAGAATAATAAGTCCCCCCTCTCATAAATATTGCATTTATTTATTTCCATGTCATATCTTCATTTCTTCTTTGGCCAACGGACGCGAATTATTTCGCTCAGACCAACTAGTTTTAATTATTAATGTAAATATATATAAATATATGTTAATAAACATAGTTAATTAATTTTATTTCTTAGCTGCTGCTTCCTATTCCTATTCGTACCTGGTTTTGAAAAGTCGTGGTTACTAAATATATTATTTTATTTTATCTATCCATAATACCCCATATATAGGTGTATATAAATATTTCTTGTCTACCTACCTTTTTCAGTTTGTATGTTATACATTGCTACTGTTAGTACAAAAAATCGTATTGAAAAGTTTTTGTTTTTTTACAGAAGAGAAAAAAAAAGAAAGAAACTATTATTTCTTTATGATTTATTAGTATAATTAAATATTTTATTTACCTATGCTATTTTCCTATTTATTAGACTACTTGTAGCAGTTGCAGAATACAAAATGTCACCTTAGCACAAAGAGAATAAACATTTAAATTGTTCCCAACGACCTTTTGTATTAACAGTTGCGATATGTTATTTATTCCATCACTCTTATTGCTTAATTTTTTTGACATTATAATCGATATGTTTTGGTTCCTAAATTTATACGCTTGTTACATAATTGATTAATCATATATTCTTACATAGTACTTTATTTTTCTAGAATAAAGACATACAAATATGTTATTTGATTTTATATTTAGATGTCGTTTGAAAAACCTGCCGATTGACACGGTGCCATGTCATTGACCTCGCATCTGACTCTCTTGATTATTCTCCTGTTGACAAAAGGAGAATTTATTGGTCCGTTATATTCCTTCCTTCTGTGTGGAAGTTACATTGTTCCAAGCTCCAACCTCGATCCATCCAAGATGACCCTCTTTAGAAAGCCGAAAATTAATATTCATTATCCTTCAAAATATTTTACTACGTAGTCTATTGAGAAAATAGCTACCCCGTAAAAGTCTTTTAATAGAAATACACTTCTTTAATTAAGTAAATTCTTATTCAGTAGTTCATATGACATATATTAATTATGGAATAAATATATTCGATAAAGTTTTTCTTCTGTCCACTAATAAGAACTACTAAGTGTTATCATCACTGCATTTCCCATCTCTCCCGCGAGCCATGATATAATAACTTTAATTCTACTTAGTATTAAAGTAGAATAAAAGTTACTTAGTATTAAAGTACTTAGTATTAAATAATGCGGGATAAGCATTATTCTAAAATTGTATTGTCCTTAAATGTCTTTTTATAAAATCCATTATTTTTATTAGTTTATTTATAAATTATTGTCCTTTTATTAAATCCATTATATTTTATTAGTTTATTTATAAGTATCTTCCTTAGCGTATGGTGACCAAATGCGCTCCAGCAACTGAAAATGTATGCCTCCCCTGCAATTTGTACGCTATAATAAGAGAGGGTATAAGGTTTACGAACTATGTTTTAACCAAATAAGGCTCATCAGGTCTTCTGGAAAATCTTTTAAAAAATAATTGCGGGAGACCCTAGTAACTAAAAATGAATAAGTGGGGATCTCATTTGCCTACTGGGCCCTTCCTGTTTATATAGTCTGTTACTGTGATAATAACGCGAAACCCTTCCTCATTGGATATGATGGAATGATTCGCGCCTATCTTCATGAATTAAAATATAGGTAAGGATATAAATCTTCCAATATCCGTACTGTGGTATTGTTGGAGAACATTATTGAATTCTCTGTTACGACCGCACTTCTTTCGAGGCAATAAAGGTCTAACTACGGAAGGATATCAGACTAGATCATCACGGAGGATGATTTCCCTCAACTTGTCAAGAAGGACAACTTACCCGTTCTACGAAGGTTTTCTTCTACGGGTGAAAGGAAGTAGTGTGGCCATTTTAATCTCCTTCAAAATGGAAGGTAGATAAACGATAAGAATTCACATTGCCGAGAGGCATGCAGCTAGAAGAAAAATGAATATCTTAAAATAAGAGGGAATCTAAAATATAAAGCCAGCTGACATCGTTTCCCATCTTTTATTTTATTTTTGCTATCTATCTGAGCCTTGTATTGAATTGTGTTTTGATTGTTCTCTACTAAATTAATTTCAACATCATTCTCAAGATATCATAACAATTTAGCATTAATATATTCATTTATATGCCTTATTGTTGTTTTAATATTTTTTCCATACTATGATATCGCTTTACATAATTTTTAATGAATTAATAAATAACTGAACAGATTTCTGTTTAAAAAGTTAAGCCCGGGATTTATTAAATATTAATGTGTATATTTAGATCGTAGTAAACTATCTACGATATTCCAAGATACCTTTAAACACCCTGTCTGTACCGAAGCTCTTCTACTTTAATCTCTTTTTAAATGGGAAAAATGTTAAACATTACCTCATTGTTTTTAATTCTATTGCAGTTGTAACATCTAGTAAACTATTTATTTATTATGTTCTGATTTTTTGATTATTTTTACTCCTCAAGGAGGCAGAGGGAGTTCTGTACTGGAGCTGCTTAGCCCGGTGCCGTGTTGTTGATATAAACGCTAAAAAGAGTAGCCTTGAACTTGGCGCGATTGCTTCATCGTTCGCAACTGTCCCCCTCGTGAGATGGGCCAGGCCGTTTTACGACAAATCTATACAAGCGACAAACCAAACCAGATTAACGTTCGTCTTATGTTAAAACAATAACTGTCGAGGTGTGGCATTATCCTTGGGACGCCCAATATATTTCTTGAGATTTCTTCAGAAGGGGAAAAGCCTGGAACGGAATTCGAGGCCATACCAAGGATCTAGGGTAAGGGTTCTCAAAGGGGAGAGGGATAAAAAGGAAAGTTTTGAAGAAAACTTGAAAAATACCTGGTATCCATATTTCAATTAATTTCTGGCTTTGTTATTTCTCGTTCAAAATTAAGAATAAATTAATAAAAGAAATTGAACAATAAACAAAACGGCTGATTATATTGAGGAAATTAATGGGTTGTTTTTGAATTTTGAGATAATTTCAGACGAAATTCTAAACTTCTGTATAATATTAAATAAGTTTTATTTATCAATTTAGAAAATATATATATATATAAAGGTATACATAATGTCATTAAACAATAATTATTTTGGCTTGGCTCCATCAGAAGTGCTATCTTAAAAGAACTTGCTGTTCAAGTGCCTCTTTAGCTGCGGCAAGAAGGTTTTTTAATGCCCTTTAATATTTTCTATTTGTAATAATAAATTTATGGATCTTTGACTTTCAAACTGCTGCTAGCTTTACAGTTTCTAGGGTATTGATTAACCTTAGATGCTCATTTATGTGCTAAAGTTGTTTTCAGGTCTTGATTGTAGTAACCAAAATTTCGTTGCAAATTATCTTGGACTCAAAATGTTTTTCCATGAGGAAAAGTAACCTGTAACCTGAGAGTACCAATTTGAGAACTAATATTTAGAATAGTATCTAATATATT